GTCGTCCCCATCCCCCCCGTCGGGTAGAGCCTTGTTGCTGGGAAGGACTCGTTTGCTGTTCTTACTCATCCGGTAAAAGCCCGAAGTGACTGCGGTAGGTTGCGGTTTTTTAAAGCCTGTTTTTCTCTGTGTCCTGGGATAGACTTGATTTTCACAAGAAGCTGGAAGGGGACACAGCCTGGAGAGCTGACCCGAACTAGCTAAGGGAGTATTCGGTGCTGTATGATACCAGTATACAAACTGGGGGGGATGGCGGCTCAGGAACAAGCTGGGGATTGGGTTCCAGGTGGTGAGTGATCGCATTGAGCATCACTCGCTTCATATATTTTTTTAATTAGTATTATTGTTATTATTTTTTTCTTCTCTCCTTGTGTTGTGCTATTGAGCTGTCCTTGTCTCAACCCACCTTTTTCTTCCAATTGTCCTGGCACCGAGCGAGTGGCCACATGATGCTTGAGTCCGGCTGGGCCGGAACCACACGACACTGTGTCAGCATGACGATTTTTTTTGTTAAAGTGGCTTGCCTGGCACAGCTGTCCCTCAGCCCCCTGGCATCTGGATGAAATAGTTTACAAATATTTCTTGAGTAAAAAAAAGGCAAAATACCATCTGGTTTTAATCTAGAAAGTTATGAAAGTTTAATTTTGCTGTAAGTCACTGCTCTGCTTACAGCCGTTTCTGTGAGAAGCAGTGTTTAATTTCCCATGTACATCAGTCCCATTTTCTGGATGTGCGGAGAACTCGCAGGAAGTTCTGGCAGCATCTCTAGGCACAGACTGGCCAAAGGTGGTACCTAGTTTGAAAAAATGATAAAAGAAACCGAATGCAGAAGTGAAAACCACAAGCTTTTCAGTGACCGTCAATGGCAGCAGTGAGCTCTGATGGAAGCATTTGCAGTTTTAAGACCCCGAGTCCCTGGTCTTGTGCTGTTCGAGTGTCAGTAATGTGCTGACACCCCACCAGATTCTTCCTCATCTGCCCCCGCAAAATAGCTCACTTGCACTCAGGTCTGAAAAGCATAGAGGGGAAAAGCCATGTCTGTCTCAGAGTGGTACTAGCGAAGTATTAGGGTGCTGAGATTTTTCTCACTGTTTCTTGTTTTGCTGACGGTACAACAAGCTTCCGTGTGATTCGCTGTTAGACATACCTTCAAGTGCATATAGGCACTTGGGCTGGTTGACTCCATGGGAACTAAAATGTGAAATGAGGTGAGATTCCCTTTGTAATGATAAACCATTCTCTCAATAGCACTAAGTATTTAAAATCACCTTTGTATGTGTTAAGTAAGTATTTAAGAGTATGCCATTTGTGGGAGGGAAGTTGATTAAAATGAGGGGGCAGAAATACTGCTAGGTGGACCGGGTGAATCAAGACAGAGAGTATTTTTTAACTGATAAGGTAGAATCTTGTCTTGGTTCCAGATTTTTTAACTGATAAGGTAGAATCTTGTCTTGGTTCCAGATCTTGAATCTCTTTTGTTTTAGAATCTCTGGAAAGAAAATTGTGCAAGTTACTGGGGTCTTCCTATTTAGTGGAATCAGAATTTTTAGTCCAGTTAAACTGGTTTTTAATGTTTCACTTCTTTTTTTTTTTCTAAATATGTTACTAAACTCAGCTGATTAGTTATCATGGTATTTGTGGACTGTTTCAACCTTTGACTTAGAAATCTGTACTCAAGTGGTGTAGATCACCATATGACTGTTGGTGGAATCTGAAGTTAACTGTGGAGGAATACTCTCTAGCTCACCTACCTTCATAGCCATTGATCAAGTGCCCACAGAGTCTAATATCCTTAGAAGATCGTTTCTCAGGATGAAAGATGGCACGCTTCTGCCCGTCAGACATTGCATTATTGTTTACTTGATTCCAAAGCCCTGTGTCCAACAGGTAGCAGGGGTCAGGGTGAAATGTCTATACAAGGGTCTGTACAGAATAATTGGATCAGACACAGCATGAGGTAAAAAAGCTTTCATGAGGAGGTTTTCAGGAGTTAACTAGAGGCTAAAAGGATGAAGGGAGCAGAAACTTGAGTCTGGTAGATTAACAAGTACCTTTATTGGCTGAGTAGGTCTAGTCTTAAGGCTGTGTGGAATAATTTCTAAAGGTGACTTGGGAATTAAGCTTATATTAAAGATACAGTATTGTTCACACATGAAGGAAAGATAAAGAACAGAGTGCAGTGGATATGCAAGGAATCCATCCCACAGAAGTTCCCTAGGCCACCTTGGGTGTTGGCAACATCAGGGGAGCTTGATGTGCTGACTCTTAAGAGAAACTGCATGGAGGTGAAGACACCATGGCCAGGCTCTGAGGTACCACTGCTGGGATGGGAACTTGATGGTACCATGGAACTGATAAGATGCATATTTGCTAATCTGGACCAACAGTCTGTAATTTTTTGACATAATACCGTCCTTTGGGTGAACTTTGCTCGTTATAGTCTCATTGCAATACCAAAACACACCTCCATCCCAAAAGTTACCCGCCTTCAAGGTGCAACCACCCCTCACTGAGCTTGCACCCTGAATTTCTTTAGTCTGCACCTTTAAAAGGGAAGTGAAAGAATTTTATACTAGTCATAACAAAGGTGTGTATGACTGGAGTCACTCAAGCTCCACCTGAAAAGTAAAAAATAGTTTAAAATAGCTTAATAGAGGAGGATGTTAGTGAAGATACCATCAATGGCAAGTCACAGACCATCTTAGACTTCTGGGATCAGCTGACGGGCTGAGGCTCTCTTGCACCCCCCCCCCCCCACTTTTCCCCCCCCCCCCATAGAGATGCCTTTGAGTAAGACTTGAATGCTCAGTTACACCGAGTGCTCCCTGGGAAACTCAGAAATTTCTATAGAGTTGCTTTTATGACTTAGTGTATTTTATAGCCAGGCTGTGTTATTCTTATCTAAACTTGCACGTGCTTTGCAGGCAGTGAATTTATCACTGGCCATCCAAAGAACTTGTGTATCTGTTGCTGCTCCATTATTAATTATTATTAATCCAGCTGTGTGAGCTCTTTTGGACATGACCACTACTCCTGGCCATACTAGTTTTGTCGAGCACTGCTAGACTGATATTGGATGCGACCAGACTCCTAGAGCCTCCCTTTCCTCCTCCCTGATGTGAGTTGTACTGATTTCATGAAAGAATTGGGCATCACTTAGAATCTAAGCCCAACCACGCCCAGCCCCTCTGATACATGAGGACAAGCTGGAATGCAAGGGGGTTTATTTTCTCCCAAATTCCTTTGCCCTTTAACACAACAGGCTGTATCAAATCATGCTTTTGAAGAGCAAGCCATAAGGAAGCTGTATTTTACTGCATTGAATTAATGCAGAGGTTGACTGTGTTTCTCCTTTTATTATTGATTTGCAATATCTTTTCAAATAGATGCAAAAAAAATTGCAATCTCTCTCTCTTTCTAATTCATACTCACTTCAGACATTTCTCTTGGGTTAGTAAGTGGCACCAGCATCTTTGTTATTGTTGTTTAATTGCTTCTTTATCCAAAACTCAGAAGTTAATGAACCTTCTTGGGTTTTGGGGGGTTTTTTGGTTGTGGGTTTTTTTTACTTCCCAGCTGGCAAAGATAACGAGTTTTGTTGTTTTCAGCTTAATTATCTCTTTGTTTTGGTGCTCTCAGATTCTTGTATCTTTCTTTACATGCCATCTCTGAGACAACAACCTTTTACATTCACAAAATCAAGTGTGTTGCAGCTTCCACTGCTGTTGATGTGTTTCTCTAAAATTAGCTTTCCCTCCAGCTGTTTGGGTCGTGTGGCTTGACTTGCCTTTTACTGGAGGGGAAGAAGGTGTGGGGTAGACAGAATTGGTTTCAAATCTGTGCTGCTAGCTTTCTTAAAAGTGGTCTGGCCACATCGATGTTTAAAATGGGGATAATAATGCTACTGTATTTCACAGAGTTATGCCGTTTGTTCCATTCTCTAGGTAATTACAGAGACCATCTAAATGTTGACATAGAGACTTTTGCCAAGCTACTTCTCTCTCCGTGGCTTTTTCCAAGTTGCATGTTGTGTGAGCTGACGCAGGCAGGACACAGGAACAACCACAAAACCATGGATGAAATGCAAAGAGTAAATTTATTCTCGTTACTTTGTTGTCCGAGGGATCCTCGGAGCAGCACCGGGGCAGAGGCACACAAGCAGGGACACAGGCACCACGCAGCTCGGTCCTTGCCAGACAATCACAGAACCTGCTGTTGGTGCCTGTGTTTCAGGGATTCACGCAGGCATAGCTGTCCCCTGGGCTTTGATCTTTCCCACAAATCTCAAGCACGTTCAATAGGGTGCCTCTAAGTCTATCACAGGCCTATGTTAACTGAACACAGATGCTCTACTTGTCAAACACACAAGGATAGACAACAATTAGAATTATATGACAAGGGGCAGCGGGTGCAAGCTGGAGCATAGGAGGTTCCACATTAACATAAGGAAAAACTTTTTTAACTGGGGGCGTGACAGAGCACTGGAACAGGCTGCCCAGAGAGGTTGTGGAGTCTCCTCTGGAGATGTTCAAAACCTGCCTGGACATGTTCCTGTGTGACCTGCGCTAGGTGGTCCTGCTCTGGCAGGGGGGTTGGACTAGATGGTCTTTCGAGGTCCCTTCCAACCCCTGACATTCTGTGATTTTTCTACACCCCAGCTGCAAGTCACTTGAGCGTGTTTACAAACTTCCTTACCACTCTTCCATTATTTTCCCACACACATTATCTGAAATTCTTCTTTACATCAACTTGACTGAAGAAGTAAACATTGATATTTGTGTGTTTTCTTGCAGATTTTGTAAGTACTCACACGACATCATCAGCGCTGAGAACAAAAAAGTTCTGAAGACCCATGAGTTGTCTAGCCTCGATGAGAACGATCTGCGAGTGCTGCTTCTCCAGAATGACCCTTTCCTCCTCCCTGATGTGAGTTGTACCGATTTCATAAAAGAAGCTTTTGTTAAGTAGCAATGGGAGAGGGCAGGATAGAATGTGGGGTTCTGATCTTGATTTCAAGCTGTTAAGATATGTAACAGTAATATTAAGATTAGTCTGAGTGATGTATGAATGGGAATGGCTGTGTGAAACCTCCAGAAGAAGCAATGCAGAGCCAGGGTTATGAAAGTGCTGTGTACTTACAACCAAAACAACCCCAGCAGCAATAAGAGTGTGTTGCTTATGTGAATACCAGAAGGCTTGTACCTGGATAAGGCCATGTCATCTATGACTTGTCAGCAGAAGACCTTCTGTCTGACAGCAGGAAGTGGACAGCAAGGCTACAGCAAACAAAAAAAGTCAGCAACTTCACTAGAGATTTACAGATGGTGAGGTAAGCAAGATGGAGGTGAAAGATCACAATAATTGTGCATGCCTGCAAGATAAAAGGCCTGACCTAAACCCAGTTTGTTGGCTCTTCTCCAAGAGACGGTGGAGACTAGGAAGCAAGGGCCCCTTTCCTTTTTCAGCCTATGTAGGTGTCAAGGTTTAACCCCAGCTGCCAGCCAGCTAAGCATGATGCACATGATGCAGCCGCTCGCTCACTCCTCCTCCCCCACCCCTGGTGGGTTGGGGAGGAGAATCAAAAAAAAAAAAAAAAAAAGTAGAGCTGGTCGGTGGAGAAAAGAACAGTTTAATAACTGAAATAAAATATAATAATTGTAATAGAAAGGAAGATAACAAAGAGAGAAATAAACCCCGAGAAAGACAAGGGATGCACAGTGCAGTTGCTCATCACCTGCTGACTGATCCCAAGCCAGCCCCGAGCAGCGATCCACCCATCCCGGCCAACTCCCCTCGGTTTGCATACGGAGCATGACGTCCTGTGGTGTGGAATATCCCTTCGGCTGCTTCGGGTCGCCTGTCCTGGCCGTGCTCCCTCCCAGCTTCTTGTGCAGCTCCTCGCTGGCAGAGCATGGGAAACTGAAAAGTCCTGGGCTTAGGATAAGCACTACTTAGCAACAACTAAAACATCAGCGTGTTATCAACAGTATTCTCATGCTAAATTCAAAACACAGCACTGTACAGGCCACTAGAAAGAAAGTTAACTCTGTCTCAGCTGAAACCAGGACAGCAGGCCTGCACATTTTGGTGCTTGGTGATACAGGAGAGTAAGCAAAATCTATGAGAAAATGACCAAATGACTGCAGTTCTATGTAAAATCTACCCCTTCCAAAGTGCACTGAGTATTTGTACACTAATTTTCTATGAAGCAACTTTTGTCTGGTTTGTATGCCAGTCATTGATTTTGTTAAATTTGGCTGAACAATCCATTCTGGTTCTGCATGTGTGTATAAGGGCAATGCTATCTTCAAGGTCTAGCTGTTTCAAAGCCAAGAAAATCCTGTTTTGGTTACAGATGTTCTTGGTTAAGAAGTTACCAGAGTACTGACTGTTACCCTTGTCTTTTGGAGGTTATAGCCTCCGCAGATCTGTTGGCATAACAGTTCTATTGTTTTCTTTTCCCCTGCTGTGACAGTGCTGGGCTTTGACAAAGTAGTTTGGGTTATTTTTTTGGTAGTGTTTTAAAATATGTTGTGCTGGCAGATTCAAGGAGCATGGTGGTGGATAGGAGCAAGGAGGATTAATAATATCTTTGTCCCACTCAGCTGCATCTAAAACTTAAGTGTTTCTTGTTTAATTACTCCCAGTAATGAGCAGGTAATAGCAACCATCATTGATTGGTATTACTCTTAAAGTCTTATCTATAGATCTGTTCAGCCCTCACTGCTGGCCGGCATCATTAATTACCTCTAACTGAGCACCTTAACTCCTGTTATGAAGTAAAATAGCAGAAACAACAGAACATGGTAATTGATGTAAGCCATTTATAAACCTGAGAGCTGGGGAGAGGGGTGTGAAAGCAGACTTGGCTGTTTCTTGCTTAGAGATGCTGACTGGCTCTGTGTGTGCTGACAAATGGCATGTATAAAGCTCTCGAGCAAGAGGAGGCTTTGGTCTTCCATAACTTGAACTGGGGTGCAGGGTAAGAAAAACACAACAGACCACCAAAATCAGGGGTTTTTATACTTTCCCACACCTTCTTTCTGGCTCCTTTTTTTTGGGGGGGTGGTGTGGTGGTGGGGTTTTGTTTGTTTCTTGGCAAATGCAAGGGGCAGTTTGCTTTCTGAGGCAGCACTTCGGTTTGGTAGTTTATCCTGATGCTCCCATGGTAAAAATTTTGTCTTGCATACTAACATCATCTTTTAATGCATCTTCCTTTAGATGCTCCACAAAACCACTCTCAACCAGATTCAGTGTCTTTAAATCTCTGGGAGTTTCGCTTGGTAATTTAAGTGGCCGGTATCTCCGGAAGTGATGTTTTGTGTAACAGATGCTCCATACAAAATGTTTGTATTTTCAATCCTCTTTCAGCTTTTACCCAATCCTGTACCTCAGTTGCTCTTTTTACTACACTCTTGAGCAGGAAGATGCAAGCACAAAAGCAATTCCTGTGCTCTGGCCCCCAAAACCAGTGTCTGACATAAGTCTTGTGCTTTTTTTTTTTTTTTTTTTTTTGTAGTTCTTCAACCGCCTTCTGGCTGCATGACGGACTGTGCTCTCTGCTTCTGGTTTTGATTAGCAGTATTCTTGGAGGAGAAAGGTTCTAGAAAGGAGAGCATATTGAAGTTAAGGGGGAAAGATTGGGTTGGGGAAAGACCTATTAAGGAAGCAAGGAAGCAGTGGTTTAAAGTTTTTCTAGAAACATCTAGAGAACTATTTTACTCCTTTGAACCAAGAGACTACTGTGTAAATTTATATCACAGCCCTTAGTTTGTGCTTGGTTGTCTGTCTCTGGTGGATGTTGGACTGTTTGTTTCCAGCTCAGTAACTTGAACAGTTATCCCCACTTGGAGGGGTGGAAAAACAACTTGCGTGTTTAAAGCCTTAACTTATTTTTCTTGTTAGATAGGCACTTGGATGAGGCATGTACATTTTAGATGAGGTTAACACTCTGAGTGGTATCAGGTCCCAAAATAGAGCAACATTCTTCAACTGAGGGAGACCATCCCTTGGCAGTGGTGTAAGACTCGAGTTCTTTAGTGACAGAAGTTGCAAAGCATCTCTGACAAGAGAGTGACAAGTTTGTCACTATCTAGCACTTGCCTATGTTCTTGATACATAGATCTTAGAGTGCTCTGGAGATGATGAGCCTTTCTGCATTCTCCTCGAACAAAGCTTGGAAAATGAAGGACAGAAAAATGGATGACTTACCCAAAATTCTGGAGTAGGTGAATAATTGCTTTGCGTTGTCACGTGCTGGTACTTCTGGATCTCACTAAGAAAGGCACATGATGCTTAAGATAAATAGCTGGTTATTGCTAAAAGTTATGATGTGATGAATTCTTATGTGTCCCTCTGATGTTGTGGGAACCACAACAACACAGCATCAAACAGACCATGACTTGTGCAGAATTCCCATCCATGGTGATGTTTGGCACCCTTGCTGTTCTTCACAGCTTTATAGTATTTTTCTGAAAAATAAAACAAAAACAAACAAAAAAACCACCCCAAAGCTATTGGTTTTCTATCCATATAAAACTGAATGTTCTAGATGGTACACTGAGGTTCACCGAAAGCGTGATGCTTTTATGCATCTCTGTAGGAACAAGCTCTTACAAACTGTACAGGTTGTATTGTTAAAGACAGTCCATGCTAATGGCACGGTATTTGCTCTCGTTATGTGCCTGTCACTAATGACACACACTAACGTGTGCACCTCTGCAACCAAGGCCTACAGATAAACTGCTTAAATTTGCTAGAAGTTGCTATTTCCTCATTATAATGTCTTCCAGAGTGGCCCACTCTGTTAGCTGAAAATAGGTCAAAAATTCATTTTCCAAAATTTATTTTCCCAGTACAAGAAAGTGAGGAAACTACTGGAAGAGGAGTTCAGCAAAGAGCCACTAAGATGATGAAGAGTCTGGAGCATCTCACATGAGGACAGGCTGAGAGCTGGGTCTGTTTAGCCTGGAGAACTGAAGGCTTAGGGGGATCTCATCAATATTTACAGACGCCTGAAGGGGAGGGTGGAAAGAGGACAGAACCAGGCTCTCTTCAGTGGTGCGCACCACCAGAGGCGATGGGCATAAACCGAAACACAGGAGGTTCCCTCTGAACATCAGCAAATGCTTTTTACTGTGAGGGTGACTGAGCACTGGCATAGGTTGCCCAAAGAAGTTGTGGAGTCTCCCCACTTTGAGATACTCAAAAGCCACCTGGACGTGGCCCTGGGCAACCAGCTGTAGGTGGCCCTGCAGGGGAATCTCTGCTCCTGGAGTACCTCCTGGAGGCACCTAGAGTACCTCTTCCTTCTTCTCACCTTGGTGTCTTCAAGGCTTTTTCCCACTTTCCCCACTGCCCCCCTCACTACTGTGCAGCGTTTTGCCCTTTCCTAAATACGGTTTCCCAGAGGTGCCACCAGCTTGGCTGATGGTCTCGATTGTGTCCTGCAGTGGGTCTGTTGGAGCCAGCTGTGTCCGGCATGGGGCAGCCCCTGGCTTCTCACAGAGACCACCCCTGCTGCCAGTGCCTGTCATAGGCACCCAACAGATTGTAACAGCACTGATAGCATTTGCTGATGCAGCTAAGCTTAAATATATAAATAATAGCCATAATTGCAAGGGGGTAGGTGGAAAGCTGTGATATAGCTGCACAAACAGGGTGCAGGAAAACATGTAGAAATAAAATGCGCAAGATATCTGGTAAAGTAAAACCCTGCAGAGCAGGCAGGTAGGGTATGTGGCGGAAGTAGAATAATCCAGTGGAACAAGCAAAACCAGAACCAGTCCAGATCCCCAAAATAAGATGTCAAAAGCATCCTTTGGGGTGTTAGGGGTAGAAGAGCATAAAGCATCCACAGTGACAGAGGGAAGAAAGTTGACACCCCCCTTTGATTTCTGCTTCTTTCAGGGGCCTAAGAACCATCAAGGGTAGTAGCCATCAGTGCTCAATGAAATTTCATCAGTTCAGTGGCTTTGTTTGCTCCCACCTAATTGAGAGTAAGTTTGTGAAAGTTAATTGTTCTGTACATGTGTCTCGTTAAGAGTAAGGATGTGATGTTTGCCTGTCAGAGCCCTCTCAGGGACTTTCACTGAAACAGTTTTGCAAAGTTGCAAATATTTATATATATAATTATCTAATTTATTAGAGCGATGGATGCAAGGGGTGCGGAATTGCCATTGACAAATGCACTCACTGCAATAGCGCTAATGTACTATAATAATGCTGGCCAAGTTTTCCCGGGTATTCTTCGCCAGGGCTAAGGTGCAATTCTTACCAAGAAGACATCCCTATCTTGGGTAGAGGAAGAGGAGCACAGCCCGTCGACCGTCCCTTCTAGATCTTCACTCCCTTTCTCCCAATTTTTACCCCTTATTCTCCTCTTTTTATTCTCTAGTTCTCTGTTTCCCTTCCCACAGGTTATGTATAGCATGTTTTAGGCGGTGAGTTGAGTGACATAGTCATGTATGTATAGAATTAGGCAGAGGTGTTAACTGTAATATTAATTTCCTAGATAATTAAGCAAAAGTTTCACTCCAGGGCAGCGTGGCGTTCAGAGTTTTGTGCTGAAACAGTTTTTCTGCACTCTTAGCCAAAACAAAGCCATCTTGCCTCTGCAAGGCTCCCGCTTTCAGCTGTTAACTCCCCTCGCAAGGTTTCTAGTAGGGAGAAGCAGATACCAGCACTCTTATCCTTCTGCTGTTTTTTGCCAGGTGAACAAGTTGCTCAGCTCTTGTCCTTGCTCTTTCCAGGCATAATGACCTTACAAGCCTAGTGTTTCTCCACAATATGATACTGATGGACAGCGATGAGGAACTTGCCTTTGGTGACGGGTAGCATTAATGAGTATGAATCCAGTGAAGAGTTAGTTTGCAGTTGAAACTGGCCTGATTTTTCAGTCTTCTAAACACTGCCATCCCAGCAACCTTAATTTGCTAGTTGATATATAAATCTATATATATTCAGTTGCAACACAGCATAAAAACTGTCTCCGTTGCTTGAAATGGGGGTTGGGAGGGAATCTGTGACAGTTCAGGTGTGATGTTCTGGCTATCTGCCAGAGAGCTCTGTGTCCCCCTCAGAGCAGCTTTCTTGTTGTGCCCTGCTCCTCTGTGCTGCAGGAGCAGAAATGTTGCTGTGGTGCTTTGTGGGCAATATGAAGGAGTTTTCCATGTGTGATTTGTTCCCTGGGTCTAATTCACTGCATATCTCTGTTTGGTAAGCAGAGGAATAAAGAAGTGTGTTGTTTTTTCCATATGTACTCTAATCTCAAAGCATTCTTCTTGTTTTTAGATGCTCAAATCTTCAATGCAGAATAAGCTTTACAAAGCACAAATGCAGTTTCAGTTCCATGACATAATACCTCACTTGACACAGTATACATGTTTTTGTGGAAACACTTGTTTTTTGTTATGATTTTGGGTTGGGTTTGGGTTTTTTTTTGATAGAATAACTGTAAAACAGTCAGTTGTTGTACAACTGTCTTCCTTACGAGTGCCAGAAATGAATGCTTGTTGGATTGGCTTTTCTTAAAAAAAAAACAAAAAAACAAAAAAAAAAAAACCAAAACCCCAAAAAACTCTGTACAACTTCAAAACTGAAAATGCCTGAGTCAGCTGAAAATGCCTTCTCTGCAAGAAATCTGTCTGGATTAAAGAAGTCATAATGAACACATGCCTTTTAGTCACAGCTTTTCTGCTGTTAAAGCTACATGCCTATAGGACAAAGACAAAAAATACTGATTCTATTGTGGTTTTCTGTTTCATATTGTATCTATCCTCCCCACTTCTAGGTCTGCCAATTTTACAACAGAAAGAATGATGCCTGCAACCAGCAACAAAACTGCAACAAGCTTCATGTATGTCGACACTTTCTCCAAGGGGAATGTAGATTTTTTCCATGCAAGAGGTCCCATAACCTTTTGGATACCCATGCGTTGAGAGTGCTGGAAACTGGAGGCATTGATTTGAACATAGCCTCAAACATCCAGGCTATATGTGATCACAAGCATGTGGAATTCAACAAGGAACTGAGGAGGGGGAAAAGTAAGTTGTAAGAAACACTGGGTTTAAATAGGATTCTGAGTCTGATAGAGGTAGAAGCCATTCTTGCCTTCCTCACAGCTAAACCCCATCGTCTTTTCTGTGCTTTCAGTACCCAACTACAAACCAAAAGAATATTATTCAAAAAAACCAGCAGTTACAAGGAGTAAAGAACCGAGGATACCTTCGCAAACAGTGGGCTCCACACTGCATGTGCCACCTTCAGAAGGTAAATATCTAGATAAGGACTGACTGCTGCTGTGTGAAATCAGCTTTCCTATTTGCCCTCTTACAACATGTACATATTTTTTTTCCCTTCTGCCATTGTTCTGCTTTCAGGAATGGAGTCATGGCCAAGTCGTGCGGGCGGGAGAGCTGCATTACTGTTGCCTAAAACATTGCATGCAAAATTGCTGTCGAGTGGCTGATAGGTGTGACTAGCTGGGATTTGTAACTATTGTTGCTGATCTGTTGTATCAGCAGTGGAGTGCTGGTGGAAAACTATGTGTGTATGGACGTAATCCTCAACACACAAATTGGGGTGTTGCCAGCTAGCTGAGGTTCTGGTCCAGCAGTGCTGTTCATTTGGTCTTCTCATGCAGGTCCCGGTAGCAATGTACCTGGTCAGAGCCAACACCAGTTGCCAACAGGAGCTGAAGATAAAGACAAAGGTATGGATTGTTTCTAACCCTCCAGTCTTGAGATCAGTGGTTCTCACTGGGATTTGGTTTCACACAGCTCTACAGCTCCCTGTGGTAGTTGGAGTGCAGCTTATGTGCTTACCCTGCCGTATGCTGAAAACCATAGTACTGGACAGCCTGCAGAGGGGTGTTGAGATTCCTGCCCAAGCATTGTGCAGTACAATGGGGAGCGGTCTGGGATTGATCTCTGTACTGTTCTGGATGCATTGCTTCCTTCCTGGGAAGGACACAGAGTTGTATCTGTGCGTGTGATATCTTTCCTTGCCTTCTGTCCCCAGGGAATGGGTATAGCTTTGTCAGTAGAGCAGTTGTCTTGATACGCCTTCCAGTGAGTGAATAGGAACGTGTGAATCTCCTGTCCTCTGGGGCAGAAGGGCCTTGTCTTTAAAGCCTGTCCGAGTCCAATACTCTCTGAACAGGTTCTTTTAGATATTCCACATGTGGAGGGTGTAATGTTTAATACAAAATTTGCTTATTTGAAGATAGTTGATGTTACATGGGTGTTGTGGGTTAACCCTGGTGGGCAGTTAGGCGCCACACAGCTGCTTGCTCACTTACCCCCCCAACCCCCAGTGGGAC